TATTTTACACTCTGGGAATGTAAAATTTGTACAGTTTTTCTAAAAGACAAAAATCCTGACCTAATCCACTTGATGGAATTAATTATAAGGAAATAATTATACTTAGCGGTGTAGATAAAGGTTATGAGGTTACATTTGTACACTGTAAGGTACAGACATACTTTAAGAGCTAAAACAATTTCTAGTTTACTAGAATGCCCAATTTCTAGTTTATTGCTATGACCCAATTACACTCCTGAAAACTAATCATAAGAAAATAATCCAAACAGGAGAAAAAGACTGTATATGCCTGAATATGTCATCATTGTAATATTATTCATAAACAGGAGAAAACATAACTGTCTGGCAATATGATGAAGTGACTATATCTTTAAACTATTGTATCACCATTAATAATTAAAATGATAAAAATCACATAGTAATACAGAAAAAACATGAAAAGCAAATTTATAAATAAGTTATTCATTTGATATTATGATCACACTGTAAAAAATTGTATGTGTGGATACATGCACACGACCCAGCTCAGAGTACTAAGAGGACTTAGCAGGAAGGGCTACGCCCATTTCTACACAATCCAGCATATGACCCTTGCCCCTCAACTTGCCTTATGTAAAGGGGGAGAAGATCAAAGGTCCTTGGGGTATCCAGCTTTGTCCTAGCCACACCTGTCTCTCCTCAGGGTGATCAGAGTTTGGGAGTCCACCCGCATTCTGTTGACAATCTAAATATTTCCCATAAATCTGATTGACACTGGCCCTGTATGTTGCTACGGGCTTTTGATCCTGTCTTAGCCTGCTTGACAGTTGCCAAAATTAGCTACCAGAGGAAAATGAAAATGAAACTCTTTACCTCACACTGCTAACCAAATAAATTCCAAATGGATTAAATATGTGTAAAAAAATTAAAACACTGAAATTACAGCTAGATAGGACTAAGTTCTAGTGTTCTATAGCACTGTAGAGCGAATATAGTTAACGATAATTTATGTATATGTTTGAAAAGCTAGAAGAGAGGATTCTGAATGTTTCCAACACAAAGAAATAAATGTTTGAGGTGATGGAGATCCTAATTACCCTGATT